TTATATTAGGTAATTAATTATTTAATCACAAATTTGAACAATGAAAATTAAAAGCTTATCTAATTTTGTAATATTAAAAATATTTACCTGCAGTCAAACTCGGCTACAACAACACAAGCACCGGTTATAGCGAACGCTTGGTTTTAATAAACGAAATTTAAAGAACAAAATTGAATTCCTTCCTTATTGGAACATGACGAACCGTTTATAATCAAATGGTTTTAGCGAACACTTTTGTGAACCGAAAATTGGCAAGTCCAACGAAGTAATATTTCATGAATGTCGTTTAAAAACTCTTATCTATATTGTTTTGGAATTTTTGAAATAAATGCTATTTTATAAAACCTATTAATGATGATGATAGTAAAATAATAAATCGTTAACCCTTCGTGCTCGTTATAACCGAATTCAACTGTACGAACTTTCGTATGCTTTTGATTGACCTGTAATCAATTTTTCTGCAACCCCCAAATGTTCTCCTCGATCTCCTCAGTGCGAATAAATGGTTTTAATCTTGAATATCTTGTCATTTTTGTAATATATGCGCATTTTCAATGATGTTTTAAAAAGCACACACACTAGCACAGTATAATTACTGTCTGTACTGCAATTAAAAATTTTTATATATTGTAAATGTACTTTTCGTCCTCCACAGAGTCCTAAGTCAAGGTTGACCAGAATTTCTAAATTATCATTTTATTTATTTAATCGTTATTGAAATACGTCATTAGTGAAACTGATGGAAAAACAGCCAAATTAATCTGTTGTGCCGTGCAGCAGGTCTTTAGCTTGACCTTCAGTTTCATATCATCGTCGTTTGACCATGACGACTTTTGATTTAGTTTGTTTACAAGTCTTAGAGTAACCTGCTCGCACACTTTACCGAATGGACGTTGTAGTTGATTTCTTTTTGTATCTTTTTGGCGACAGAGGTAACAATTCCGTCACCGCCACTCCTCGCCATCATCCTCAAGATAACAATAATCAACAAAAAGGCCAAGAAACCAAAACAATTTTGCAAAGAATCGGTGAGTTATTTTGGAGGCAAAAGCCTGACGAAATTGAGAACGTCGAAGTAAAAGAAGATCATCGCTTGAACGATTCAGATAATGCTTTGATTCAAAGTGACCACCAGGAAGAAGCTTTTGCTTCAAACCTGAACCAACCTAGTCATCTTCACGTTTCTTTTCAAACTAGTTCCATTGAAAATACTTTATCACGTGAAAGTGGTAGTGAGTGTAACTCAAATAAATACAGTGAAGGTCCTGAATTACTCCTAGGACGAGAACTATTTTCTGAAAAGATGATTCCCCAACATCCATTGTTGAAGAAGAGGAAGTCTTCGAAAAGGTTCGTGATTGGAGATGAAGGCGAAGATGAAGCTACTTGCAGTATTCCTGAGATTCGAGAAACTTTTGATACTAGCGGTGAAGGAAATAATGGAAATTTTGGGAATGAGAGTAGGGATGACGGAACGGGATGGTACAGGAATCGGCTAAAAGTTAAAACCTCTTTGACGTAAGTAAAATCAGTCTAAATTATTCAATAAATGTTTGAAGAACATCCATGATATTTGTGTTTTGTTTTATTTTATTTTTATATTAATTTGTTGGGTGTAAAAGCGGATAGACATTATTTGAAGATGTCGTATTAAAATGGATGAATTTCGATTTGTTTCTAAGGCGTTTAATATGGTTTTTGTATGGTAAACAGGAAATAAAGTTTCGCTGAAATTGAATTTTTTAAATTTTACTTACGTTAGTAAAACGTCATTAACAAATAAACAAACAATTCATTGCAGTATAAATAGAAAAGCAAAAATCAATTTACGGAAAAGTGGATATTTAAATACTGTTCATATTTTAGTTTAGAGCGCAGTAATTTTTAAACGACGTTCTTAATATCTAAAATTTATGTTTGGTACGTGATTGGTAAAGATGCAGATTGTATACACTTTGTATAATTGCATTTAGTTACACCTACCTCTATATATATCCTAGGTATAATAATTATTTCTCTGTCATATCGTCATGTCATTTACAACAGACTTTCGCACTTAAAGCTTTCATTAAATATTTAAAACCGTCATTATATAACGAAGGCTAGCGAATAAAATCAATTGTTCAAAGGAAATCAATGTATCTGGTAATATAAATAGACGTTTATTATATATTTGGTCAACAGGACATGTTTTTTATTTTATTGTGCGAACAAAACAGTTGAATAATAGTCAGTTTATACAGTCAAATCTTCGTAACTCCTACTTTGTAAATGTAGCCCCTTACCTCCGCATCTTTCTTGCGGATCCTGACTTCCGCATCATTCTTGCGGATACTGACTTCCGCAACCTTAACGCGGCCGCTGATGTTCCAGATAGACAAAATTCGAGTTTAGAAAATTTTTTGCCTTTTTTTTCAATTTTAAAAAAGCAAAAAGGAACCTCTGATTATATTCCTGTATATTCCCCCTCTTGAATGTTTATTTTTTGGTGGTTTTACGCACCAGTACGCATTGATTTGAGATTATCTGTAGTGGGTGAAATTAATTCAAAAATTAATTCACTAATACATTCAATTAATGCTACAAAAGTTCNATTATTATGTTTATTATTTACAATAAAAAAGTAGTAGAATATTTTATTAAAATAATTTTTGATATAAGAAAATTTTACTTAAGTAAAGTGTTTTATTATCCAGTTTCATCAATAGATGTTTGATGTCAATCAACAGTATTGGAAAAATTAACATCGCGGAGCATTTCAAAAATTTAATCAAGTCTTAGTTTAGCACTGGCCGCCCAGTTGTGTTGGACCAAGCTTGCGCCAAGCCAGGAATATGCTTTCCTTGTAGTAAGTTACGACAGGATCAAACTTCATCCAACCTTGGCCTAAGATTATTTAATTCTGGTCTGAGATTAGCAACCAATATTTGGTTTGTCACCTCGACTCAAGCCTGGTTGGCAAGCTTGGTCTACGACTGGAAGGCCAGTGCTGAACCAAGACTTTGTTAATAATACCATGATTTGGCAGCCAATAGACTGATCAATAATATTAGCTCAAAATTGGGTAGCCAATATTGGGACAGGAATTGGTGAACAATATTAACTCAAGATTGGATATATAATGTTATGCCAATACATGATGAACAAAATTAATCCAAGATTGGGCAACTGTGTCGCTTTCCATCTTGACCAATACTTCGTTGACTAGTATTGGAAATAGTATGGCGAAATGTTTATATACCTAGCTTTGACAAAGTATCGGCAAACCCATACTTCACTGTTCAGTATTAGATCAAACTTGAAGAAACATTACCTAAAGAATTCAGCCTTGGTATTTGAAGATTGTCCCAACTTTGATCCAATATTGGCAAACCCATATTTGACTGTTCAATATTAGATCAAACTTGAGGAAACGTTACCTAATGAACTCAGCCTTGATATTTGAAGATTGCCCAAATTTTGATCCAGTATTGGCAAACTCATATACTTGACTGTTCAGTATTGGATCAAACTTGACGAAATGTTAATGTACCTAGCCTTATCACTTTAATCCAGTATTGACAAATCGCAGGATTTATATTACTTTATTATTTACATGAAAAAATGGCTGAAAGTATTTGCATGAAGTTCAGAGGACGATACGCCCCTTTTTGATTATTGAATGGAATAGAATATTCCTATCTTCGGTTTTAAATTCACCACCAATGTATTTGTTCTTAGTTATAACTATTTTTAATCAAGTTTTTGGAGTAATTGTGTAGGTATTTATAATTGAATTAAGCATAAACTAATGCGCATCGCATATTTTGTATCTTTGACCATCCATTGTAATACAACTTAAAAAAAATAATTGTTTGTTTGTTTTATTATCATCGACCTTGTTATTTTTTTGTGCTCGATAACCTCTTTTAGGGAAGTCATTTTTTATAGCGAAATCTTATCAGAATGAAAAATAAAATAAAAAATTGGGACAGATTCCATTTCATATTTTTTATTTCATGCGACGTATGCATACATATATATGATTTATTTGCACTTAACAATGTTTTGTTTTGCTTTTTTTTTAGCACAGATATATATATAGATTAATTATGTTTTCGTTTTGTTTCAGTGAAGGACAATGCACTTTCAAAAAATTGGCTGACAATGGCTGTAATTAAAAAAAAATCTCATGGTAGAATAGCGAATGGATGAACTTTAATTAATTTGGTTGGTAAGTTACAAATATTAATTAATTAAAGTTGTTGTATAAATAATATAAATTAAATCGCATTGTTTAAATGTAATTGAAGTCTTAAAAATAAAATATATTATAATACGTAGAATTGTAATATCTATTACTAAAATTAAATATCGTCAATAGTAA